TCCGATGGGGCTGGCGGGGGGGTCCCCGGTTGACGTGCCCCACGGCATCTCTCCGCAGAACGGCGCCGTGCCTGGGGAGCGGGGCAAGCAGGACAAGAGCATCAAGCGTGGCAACTGGGGCAACCAGATCGAGTTCGTGCTGACCAGCGTGGGCTACGCCGTGGGGCTGGGCAACGTCTGGCGCTTCCCGTACCTCTGCTACCGCAATGGGGGAGGTGGGTGCTGGGGGAGTGGGGTGCCCCAGGGCAGGGGTGGGGGCGGGCACCTGGCCCCACGCGGTGCTTGCTGGCCCCAGGTGTAGGGCATGAGGGGCAGTGCCGTCCCCAGGGTCATTGCCTACTCTCACCTTCCGGTTCCTGCCCACCAGGTGCCTTCATGTTCCCCTACTTCATCATGCTGGTGTTTTGTGGCATCCCCCTCTTCTTCATGGAGCTCTCCTTCGGGCAGTTCGCCAGCCAGGGCTGCCTCGGCGTCTGGAGGGTCAGCCCCATATTCAAAGGTAAGGGGCTGCCCGTCCCCACCAGCACACACTGGCAACGGGGCACCCGCCAGCACAGTGTCCCCTGCACACCCTGTGTGTCCCCACAGCCCTGCGTAGGCACCCGCGGCTTGCATAGCCCTGCATGCCTTGCACACGTATGCCTTGCACACGCGCCACTGCCCGCGTTGCAGGGGTCCCCTGTGTGCACACCCACCCCGGGCTGCACTGCCCTGCACACACAGCCTGCCCGACCTCCGCTGCACTCATTAGACACGTCCCTGCACACACAATGTATCCCCTGTGCACACCGCAGCCCTGCACTGGCATCCGCTGCAGGCATTACACACACATCCCTGCACACGCCACATGTGTCCCCTGCACGTCACCCTTGCAGAGGCCGCTCAGGTCCCCTGGACATGCTGCGGGTGCCTGTGGCCCCTCTGGCTGTGGGCACACTCCTCTCTCCCCATGGTCGGTGGGTGCTGTGCCCACGCACAGGGGTGCCGGCGGTGCTCAGAGCTTGCCCTGCCGTGGCTGGACTCTGCTCCAGGAGCTCCTCCTGGCACACCGGTGCGCTCCCACGCTGCTGGCTCCCCTGGCACATGCCTACAAGCTGCCTGCAGGGTGACGCACCCACACATCATGTCTGAGTGTGGGCAGCCCGTGCACACGCTCCCGTGTGCTCTGCACTGTGGCATGCTCAGCCTGGGTGCATGTCCCCATGCTTGTGTGGCCTCTGTCACCTGCCACCAGGTAGCTGCAGCCCTGAAGTCACCATCACCCTGTAAGGAGAGACCCCCAACCAGGGGTTCTCCAGGACTGCAGACCCCAAGGGTTTGCCTGCACCCTTGCAGGCCATGCACCCCCTGTGCATTGCCGCATGTCCCAGGGGACTCTCAGGAACACTGGGCTTGCTGGGAGGTAGAGGATCCCATGGAAGGTGGTGGGCTCCCCACCGTGCGGGGCTTCCCACCCCAGCGCCACAGCCAGGCCCTAAGCGCCAGCGTCCAGCGGCCCCGCGTGCCACCCGCTCTCCGTGCACTGTGCTGCGCTGTGCCCGCGCTGTGCCGCACCATGCCGCTCACCCCTCCCCGGTGCTGTTCCCAGGCGTGGGCTACGGGATGATGGTGGTGTCCACATACATCGGGATCTACTACAACGTGGTGATCTGTATTGCCTTCTACTACTTCTTTGTGTCCATGACGCGTGTGCTGCCCTGGACATACTGCAGCAACCCCTGGAACACGCCCGACTGCGCGGGGGTGCTGGATGGGAACGTCTCCAGCCGCGCTGCCCTCAACCTCACCCACCTCCTCAACGCCACCCAGAAGCGCACCAGCCCCAGCGAGGAGTACTGGAGGTACTGGGGACGGGGGACAGGGGAGGTGATGGTGGTGGTGGTGTCGGGACCCTGCTGACGCCAGCTGCCCCCCACGCAGGAGGTACGTGCTGGACCTATCAGACGACATCGGGAACCTGGGCGAGGTGCGGCTGCCCCTCCTGGGCTGCCTCGGCGTCTCCTGGGTCGTCGTCTTCCTCTGCCTCATCAAGGGCGTCAAGTCCTCGGGGAAGGTACCCATGTGTTTCCCCTTTGGGCTCCGCCCCCTGAGCCTGGACACACCCCCTCTGCAGATGACCACGCCCCTTCTGGGTATAGTCCCGCCCCTATTGGAATACCCCTCCCAGGGTGGGTGTGGCCCCACCCCTTCTGGGCAAAGCCCCACCCCTTCTAGGAGTGGTCCAGCGCTCTGTGTGCTCCTCCCACTCTGGGAAAGGCCACACCCCTTTGCAGTCTGGCCACACCCCTTCTGGGCACAGCTCCTCCCATGTGGCCATGGCCCCGCCTTCCCTGACTGTAGCCCCTCCCCCTGGACCATAGCCTCTCCTCCTGGTCCAGTACTCCGCACTCTGGACCATAACCCCTCCCCCAGTCCATAGCCACACCCCCTGTCCCCGGCGCCACGCCACTGAGATGCTGCCCCGCAGGTGGTGTACTTCACGGCCACCTTCCCCTACGTGGTGCTCACCATCCTCTTCGTGCGTGGCATCACGCTGGAGGGGGCCCTCACTGGCATCATGTACTACCTGACGCCCCAGTGGGACAAGATCCTCAACGCCAAGGTGAGCGGGGACGAGGGGTGGCAGGTGGCCGGGGGGACAAGTGGCGCTGAGGGACACAGCACTGACTACCTCACCGCTGCAGGTGTGGGGTGATGCGGCCTCACAGATCTTCTACTCGCTGGGCTGTGCCTGGGGCGGGCTCATCACCATGGCCTCCTACAACAAGTTCCACAACAACTGCTACCGGTGAGTGCTCGGCCGCAGCCCCCCAGCCCCACCACTGTCCTCCAGCCCCACCACCAACCCTGACCACTCTCCCCACAGGGACAGCATCATCATCAGCATCACCAACTGCGCCACCAGTGTCTACGCTGGCTTCGTTATCTTCTCCATCCTGGGCTTCATGGCCAACCACTTGGGGGTGGACATCTCCAAGGTGGCGGACCACGGCCCTGGCCTGGCCTTCGTTGCCTACCCTGAGGCCCTCACCCTCCTTCCCATCTCGCCTCTCTGGTCCATACTCTTCTTCTTCATGCTTATCCTCCTGGGGCTGGGCACACAGGTAGGTCATGGTGGGGCAGTATGGTGGGGCCAGCAGGTTGGGGTGGAGTGGCAGGGTGGCATGGTGGGGACACGGTGGTGGTCTGAGCTGACATGCTGCCCTCTTCACCCTGTGGACATTTCTGCTTGCTGGAAACCCTGGTCACGGCTATTGTGGATGAGGTGGGCAACGAGTGGATCATCCGCAGGAAGACCTTTGTGACACTAGGGGTGGCCGTGGTGGGCTTCCTGCTGGGCGTCCCGCTCACCACGCAGGTAGGTAACCACGGGACTGTGGTGGCGGGGTGTCATTGCCATGGCAACCTTGCCGTGCTGATTCAGCCTTGTCCACATTGTTACCATGACCACCCCAGTGGTGGTGGTGACACTCAGGGCCTGGTGTTGCCATGGCAACACTGGTGATGGTATCCAGACTAAGCATCGCCATGGCAACACTGGCGATGGCATCGGGTGTTGCCATGCCGACCACGGTGGTGGTATCCAGGCTGTGTGTTGCCATGTCGGTGCCGGCAGTGTGGCTGTGCCGGTGCTCTGCTG